TTTTTTTTTTTCTTGTTTGGTTCGGTGTTGGTCTTAAGACTCAATCTGGAATTCTGCTTGCAAGTTGACACTTTGTAAGTCTTCACTTTAGGGCTTCCCAAAATAATTCATAGTAGATGAAAAAAACAACATATAATTTGCAATGCCAATAAAAAAATAAAATAAAATAAAATACAAAGTTGCGAGTATGTTGCCGGTTTTTTCTCTACATAGATTTGACAAAAGTTGACTCAAGTTACCAATTTGACCACACGTGCTCACTTAAAATGGATAATGAGTCAGAATGTGACCGTTTGATGTGAGAAAGGAATCACAACTTGCAAAATTGGGAAATGAGGAGTCATAGGTTGCCTCCTCTAACCTGTACCTGTTTAATCCAACCCGTTTGACTCGTGGCTTGAAGTGATATAACCCTTAACTAACCTAACCCGACCTACCCACCTGCCATGTCTAGTTGCGGGTTAAAATGTATTGTTCCCAGGTTCAATACAGAAAATGAAACCAATTATCGAAGGAAGAAAATAGGCACTTCACAAGAGGACAAGAAAATGATTGACACAGCAAAAAGGTGACAATCCCATTTCTACTTTTTTAGCAAATAGAAAAACCATCCATCTGTACTAAACAAAAAAACTATTTCTGACATCCATTTCTTCTCTACAGACTTCTGTTTTTATTCAACCAAGTAAATACAAGCAAGGTACGCTTTGAGTGTTCGTTTTCTCTTAGAAGTCGAACATCCTTCCCATTATATGACTGTACAGTACAAACAAGCATCCAGATGAGCTTGTTTCTATGGCAATTCTTAGCATGCTCTGCTATTTTCCTATGTTGTTTGCGTCTGTGTTCTGTCCTCTTTCTTCTCATGGCCTCACAAGTTTTGGACCTGAATTTGAAGCCATCCAAGATGTGACAACATCCACAAGCTGGTTTATATCCTTGGATATATTTGCACGAACAATCTTTGAGTCTACACCTATTGAGTTGCTGACTTCTTTGGCAAAAGTCTCCAATGGTGTTCCCACAGTCAGATTTGTCAAGAACTCACTTCCACGATTTACAGCATCTGCCATTGCTGGTGGAATGTCTGGGAGAGCCTGCAGGATGATACTTTCAGTAAATTGCTTGCCTTGTTTACCAAGTAAAGGAGCTATGAAGTACTATAACCCCTTGAATTTCTTAGTTGACTTGGGAATATTCCTCATAAAATGTCATTAATTCAGATATTCTCAAAGTTTTACAAGCATACCTGGTGTAAAGGAAGGCCATGATCTCCTGGCAACAATCGAATTGAAATATCAAGCGTTGGACTGATGGCAGAATCTGAACAAAGCAAGCGAGCTAGAGTTGGAGTTTCATCAATAGTATCGTCCTTGAACTTTATCAGAAGATTCCTTGAAATGCCATAGTATGACTTTATCTGCAAAAGACATGAACAATTTATCAAAAAGTGTAAAACAAATGGAATCTCAAAAGGAAGGGAGTTGCAGTTTATATTAATAGCTTTCAAGCCAAAAAAAATAGCACACCATCTAAATAACCTTGAAATCATCCTCCACCTCAAAGGGCCATGAGCCCTCGGGCGTGTGTTTGTTTTTTTGATCAGCATGAGCCCCTGGTATATTCCACTTCATTTTTACATAATCTCTCCATTTCCCCCCTTCATTTGCTCTCTGCTTGAACTTGCATAGTTTTTCTGATTGGCAAGAGCCCTGATATATTCCACTTCATTTTTTACATAATCTC